AGTGAGGGGGTTCTTCGGTCACTCCTAAGACCACAGTTCCATGCTGCCATGACGATGGGCTCTTTGTGACACTTTGGGAATAAGGTGAGAGGGTTCTGTCCTACCTCATCAATACTATAGAGAAGCTGAGATTTACACGCAAAAACAATGCACACATTCAACTTCTCACCAAGACTGTGCCTTCTGTTCATCTGGGACTGTGTGAAAAGACACCAAAGAAAGTAGTGGATTGAAACAGCATGATCAGGTCTTCACTCACACATTTACAATTGGGGTTTGGATCTTTCCACAGGCATAAGAGGAGAGGTTCTGCTGAGATCTGAAAATTTCAGGGCCAGGACACTACTGCACAGGTGGCAGGTGGTGCTGGCTCAGCTGGGAACTCTGAGAAAGCTGAACGATGAGACCCTGTGATGTGCTGGGCCAGATCAGAACAGCTCATCAGAGAGGAGCTTTGTGTGATAATTCTTAAACTGTCCATAGCTGGGAGCATTTTAACCACAGAAATTTACAAACATTGCAAATCACAGTTTTGTTTTTTCCTAGAAAACTGGTTGCTCTGGGTTCTGTAGCCTATCCTTGCAGGTGGGCTCAGTTCCTCTCCCTGTGGAATGCTTAGTCTTCCTCCAAGCATGGTATCTGGGCTCCAAAGGCATCAGCCCTCTTAGCACATGTGATCTGCTAAAAAAAAAATTTTAATGCCATGAACCAAGTTACTCTAATATTGCCTGGAAGGTCACCCTCACTACCTCTCAGCGCTCTGTCCTGCTGGACAACAGTGACCCTTCATCTTCTTTGTTCCAACCCTCCACACCCTAACTCCTGCCACCACTCGGAACCGCCTGTGGAGGCGGAGAAGTCCAAATCAAGGTGGTATAGAATCAGTGTCTGGTGAGGACCAGCTTTTTGGTTCATATACATCTTCTCACTGTGTCTTCATCTGGTGGAAGGAATGAAGGAGCTCTCTGGGACCTCTTCTACAGGGACACTCATTCCATTCATGAGGACCCCACCATGCTGACCTGCTCACTTCCAAAAAGGCCCCTTCTTTTAATGCTATCATCTTAGGGTCTAAGACTTCAACATATTAATTTCAGAGGAAAAATGTATCAGGCCACAGCACCATCCAACACAGAGAAAGTGAAAGACACCAGTTCACTAGGGCCTAATTCGAGAAAACAGCATGGCGTCTAGTTGCATGTAGTCTGTCGGTCAAAATGTTACCCGTCCTAGACACAACAGGAGAGAAGAGAAACCTTCCTTTCTATAAAAAAGAGTAAAAGGATTTAGGGGTCATATTTGAAAACAGCTCAAGGAAGCTATTTCCTTATGGTTTATTGTAAAATAAACCTGCTGCAGACATCTGCTGCAGACGCCAACACCGGACACATAGACAGCTAGTGAGAGGCGGCTGGGAAAGGCGGACAAAAGGCAGGGGACTCGGAGCTCCTGCCTGTCCCAGCTGGATCTGCAGGCCCAGGAGTGGCTGTGTGGCACAGGCAGCACCAGGACACTCCCTGCAGGATGGGGGACAGATGGCTGAGGGGAGGGACGGGGCGATGCACTCTGAGGAGCTAGGAGGTGGAGGGTCGTCCTCAGAGCTCACTTCCATGCAGCCCCCGCTCTGCCCCACGCTAACACGCATGCTGTGTTCTATGACTACCCTTTCCTACCGGGTCAAAACCATAACCCCATGCCTGGGTCCCAGGTTCTGAGTTTCATGGGGAGGCCCTCACTACCGCCCATCACAACTCTCAGAGCCTCTGGACAAAGCACACTAGTCCTGGCTACGGGCTTCTGCACGTATAGTCTTCCAGGGAAGGTAACTCCTTATGCCTTGGGTGGAGCAGGTGTTCTCCTTTCATGGCATTTCTTCGCTTTCTCCTTTAGAACCACACCTACCATTGATTCAGATGGAGGTTCCCACCTCAGGGCATCACAACACTGCGGTGGGTTAAGGGAGTCTCATTTAGTTCATCATCCCCAAGTCACCAGCTTCCTCAAGCAGCACGGTGGCCTCCTAAAGTCATGGTTTTTAATGTCTCTGCATGTGCTACGGACACCCAAGGCACCAAGGACCTTCAAAGGGCCATCACCTTTTTAATTCTCAACCCCATGGCCACTATCGCTTCATCACAATTGGGCTAGACCCACTGTGGTGCCCCCCTTGGTGATCACAGAAGAGTTAGCTCCTTTTTCCCTTAGAGATAACATCATTTACATGTTCTCCAATAATGAGACCTCCCCACACCATCACAGGACATCCACCATCTCAACATCAAACATTTATTGAACAATGAATTGTGGATGGATAGTAAACTATGATCTTCTGAGGACTGACGCGCCAGGCCCACTGGCACCCAGCAGGGCCACGAGGCTTTTGCTAGATCACACCTCTCCATTTGACAGGCAACTTCTGGCACAAGCTCCCGTTTTTACCGGTTTTAAAGGTTAGCTAATATTTCCCACTTACTCCTCCTGGCAGGAAGTAGGGATTATTGCTCCAGAACCCACCGAGGGTGCAGTCAGAGGCAGCAAATGAGGAGAAGAAGCCTTCAAACTAGAGACAACAACTACATCAGGCAAAGACCATATGGAAGTGCCATCACCAAATGTGGCCATGGGGGAGAAAGGCTCCAAGGAAAAGTGGGTGCGAGCTGACCCATGGAAGCACTGGGAAGAAAGCCCTGAGTGACAAGATGTCAGTGTTCTCCATGATTGGCCTTGCTTGGTATCTCCTGTACACGTGGCTTGTGGGGTAGCTGTTACACCCAGGCCTTGCAGCCTAGAGAGTTGCTGGGAACAGGACAGCCCTAGTCAGAATTTGTACCCCAGGATGGAAAACTGGGGAATTCCCTGTAAGTCCTGTTGAGGGGCTGTACCCCAAATACAACCTGACCTGTGTCCAAGGTGGGCAACTCAATTCTTAGATATTGATTGGGTCCCACGGCACCAATGCTTCAACACCAGCAGCCCTCACAACCTCAGATCACCCTGTTTCAAGGATGAGGAGGTGGTTCTCTGGATGCACAGGATTCAATCCAAATGGGCTAACGACGCCGCAGCACAAACCCAGACTGCAGCCTGAAGGGTTGGAGCCTTGCATTCACAGAAAGCATCCAGATATGATCATGGACTCAGCGATACACCTGTGCTCCAACGTATACGAGTTACAGATGGAAACCTCCTATGCCTCCCAGGAAGCACCACTCAACTTTACTAAATGCTTCTCTGAAGACCCACAGGGCTGAGAAGCTGTACAACACCAGCAGTAAAATGAACGCCCAGACTCCCACTTCCCTTCTTGGGTGGCCATCTGGAAAGGCCACCCCCACCCCGAAGGCTAACGCTTCAGACCAGTTCTTGGCTTAGATGATCTTAGACAATTGTTTAACGTTAAACTGTTCATTGACCAAGCAAGCAGGTGATTGTCCCCTCTGGGGAACCACACGCTGCGTGTACATCCATAACTCAGGAGAACCCACAAACGTCTGTTCCACATAGCAACAGAAGCCCAGGTGGCACTCAGTCTCACCGGGGTGTTCTCCAACATCCCAGCTCAGCCAAACGGCTTTGATTTGTTTTTATGGTTAGACCCCAGGTCCTCGGGACACTGCTTCAGAAACAGATTCCTAATCCTCTTCTGTGTGTGAGTGGCATTCCTATTCGAGTCTCTTTGTAGGGCGTATACTATGATACGCAGCCAGTCTGTCCCGGAGGCTTTAAGTACTACTTTGGTGCAGGTAGTTCACCTTAGCCACAGCCAATGCAGCACAGGGTCAATTGTGTCAGGAGCCATGGAGAATCCAAAGTTGGTTCCTGCCCGGGCTTGGCCAGGGCTGGCCAAGGTAGACAAGGGGTTCCTCTGTGGAGTTCAACTTTAACCTCACCTTCCCACCAAATTTCTCAACTGTTCTTGACACCACAATTATTGAATGGACCCAACAGAAAGTAACCCCGGAAATTAGGACACCTCATCCCAAAAGACCTTTAAATAGGGGAAGTCCACTTGTGCACAGCTGCTCCTTCCTACAGAAGACCTGGGACAGAGGACTGCTGTCTGCCCTCTCTGGTCACCCTGCCTAGCTAGAGGAGCTGTAAGTAACACAAAACTTAAACTTTTACACTGAGTTTTCATCATTGAAGCTATGCCTCCAATCTGACCTCTGACTGGGGGGCCACCCCCGAGGGACCCAGCGGGTAAATCCCTGCCGGGAACGTCTGTCTGGATCTCTGGTGGCTCCTGGGGACAATGGCTTTCAGCTAAGTTAATAGAGAAACTCAAGCAGTTTCCTTCTAAACACAAGTGTCCTAGTTGACATGTCCAGTAGAGATAATCGCAGGTCTTTGGAACATTGTTTTGAGAAAAGCATATTCAGGTCCTTGGTCTGTTTTTCAATCAGGTTGTTTGATTTTTGCTATTGAGTTGTTTGACTTCCTTATGTATTTGGATATTTGCCCCTTCTACCACGTAGGTTTTGCAAATATTTTCTCTCATTTTTTGGATTATCTTTTCACACAGCTGATTGTTTCCTTTGCTGTGCAGATGCTTTAGTGTTCAATACAGTCACAATTGTCTATTTTCCCTTTTATTGCCTGTGCTTTTGGTGTCATAGCCAAGAAATCATTACCTACATCAATGTCAAAAGCTTTATCCTTATATGCACTTCTAGTAGTTTATGGTTTCGGGCATTGCATTTAGGTCTTCAGTTCATTCTGAATCGATGTTTCTACACGGTGTGAGATAAAGATTTAAATACAAACATATATAAAATCATGAGGTAGTGTACACTATAAATATACAATTGTTAATTGTCACTCAAGTCTAAATAGAGCTGGAAATAATAAACAGTTTTTTTTTTTTACTTCAACAACTCTGTGTCACTGAGCTTATTTCACCTTTAGCCTGATAAAATCATTGTCCTCTGCACCCTGATTCCTACAGGAGACTACTCACCCCATAACCTCAAAAACCTCTTCATGAGGATGGTAAGTCACTTGAATCCTGAAGTGAATTACTCTCTAGTCCATTGGAAACTCATATAGGACAGCAGAATCTAGACCTCCAGAGAGCAGCAGGACACATCTTCAGAAAATAAGAAGCATTTGTTCCCTGAGCCTGTTGAATGAAAGTGCAATTTCTATTGTTTTTGGAATGTCGAAAAGTAAGTACTAATATTTAAGCAGGTGAACCCAGGAGTAACATAGCAGGGTCTTTCTTGTCATTATCAGCTCCAACCTAGCACAGACATTAAACGTACAGATTTACACTAGCATGAAGCTGGGAGAACAGGAGCATTCGAGCGACCTTGAGACCAATGGACCTCTCTTACAAAATGCACACCTCTTCCTACTGAAGATCAAGAAGGTTTCTTGTCTCTGAGCCTTCTCCCAGCAGAGTTATAAATCCAGGCTGGCTCCTCCCTCCCACACATCCGCTCCTGCTCTCCCTCCTCTAGGTGACCCCAGCCATGAGGACCCCCGTCATCCTTGCTGCCATTCTCCTGGTGGCCCTGCAGGCCCAGGCTGAGCCACTCCAGGCAAGAACTGACGAGGCTACTGCAGCCCAGGAGCAGATTCCAACAGACAACCCAGAAGTGGTTGTTTCCCTTGCCTGGGATGAAAGCTTGGCTCCAAAGGATTCAGGTGAGAGAGACCAGCATGTAGAGCTGCTGAGTCTAGAGGGAAAGACAGGAGACAGGTTCCAGAGTTGGGTCTCAGCAGTCTATGTCACTGAGGTGGCTTCACTTAGCATCTCTGAGCCTTGATTTTCTCATCTATAAATTGAACAGAGAGCCAAATAAATCTGAGAAGTTTTATTTCTCCGAAGACTTGATTCCAAGAAATATCTGTGAAATTCACTAGGTTTAAGATATGAAGACAGACTAGTTATCTCTGGATCTAAACAAGTAGACCTATCTATAAAGAGAACATTTTACTCTATTTATAGGAGAGCTTTTAAGAACTGGAGCCAAGCCTGAGGGTATGTTAGGTGTGTGTGTCATGGGGCAGGAATGCAAAAATGAGAGCAAAGGAGAATGAGTCTCAAATTCTGTGTGACCAGCACTGCTCTGTGTATTTATTCCTATTGACTGAGGTTGTACGTGCTATATGGCAGCAATGCAGCCAGAATCACCCATTAGCTAGCATGTGACTTCCCCAAGATTCTCTTTCTTACCCACTGCTGACCCCGTATTCAATTTCTCATGCTCTCCCAGTCCCAGGCTTAAGGAAAAACATGGCCTGCTATTGCAGAATACCAGCGTGCTTTGCAGGAGAACGTCGCTATGGAACCTGCTTCTACCTGGGAAGAGTCTGGGCATTCTGCTGCTGAGCTTGCAGAAAAAAAACAAGAAAAATGAGCTCAAAATTTGCTTCGAGAGGTATAGGGAATTGCTATCAACTCCTGTACCTTCTGCTCAATTTCCTTTCCTCATCCAAAATAAATGCCTTGTAACAAGATTTCTGTGTTTACATCTCTTTAATGTGTGATATGTGTCTGCGTCAAGATACTTGGGGTACATATACCAAAAAGCAAAATCAAATGTTTGAACAATATAAAATTCCAAATTCTAGGAATTTTAAACAAGAATTTAGGATTCAGACCCAAATTGAAAAGAAGGCCCACATGACACCAACGATTTCCCCATCCACTGCTCTGCCTTTTCACTCTGCCTCATTTTCTCTGGATCCACTCTCAAAGAGCTCCCATGTGCTGCACAAACAATCAGTGTCAGCTTAAAGTTCAAGCAGTCACAAAATCATACTTCTCTGGGAAAACTACCATCCTCTGTGCTAAAGAATTGGAGTTTCATTGAACAATGTCAGATTGTACATTTTCCTTTTAAGACATAGGGTTACATGAGATCCACTGAAACAACTTTAATTAAGAGGGAAATGGGTTGTGGGCAAAGGCGTGATGCATGGAACAGAAAACACAGCAGACCACACTGGAACGTCCTCATTAAGAGCAACCTCCAGCCACATCTACTAAGACCTGGATTTCACACTCATAAAATTGTCTTCACACCTAGAAAACACACACGCACTGGGCGGGCTAGGTGGCTCAAGTCTGTAATCCCAGCACTTTGGGAGGCCGAGACAGGCGGATCACGAGGTCAGGAGATCGAGACTATTCTGGCTGACACGGTGAAACCCTGTCTCTACTAAAAAATACAAAAAACTAGCCGGGCGAGGTGGCGGGCGCCTGTAGTCCCAGCTACTCGGGAGGCTGAGGCAGGAGAATGGCGTGAACCTGGGAGGCTGAGCTTGCAGTGAGCTGAGATCCGGCCACTGCACTCCAGCCTGGGCAAGAGAGCGAGATTGTCTCCAAAAAAAAAAAAAAAAGAAAAAGAAAACACATACGCACTAATGCACCACTGCACTTTGCAACACCCACTCCCTTGTGTTGCCCTAAAGCTGCTGAGAACCTGATTCTGCCTGGAAAATGCAGCTTCAGAGGGGTAAGGGAGGAGGGAGGGAAAGCATTTCACCAGGAACATGGTAGTCTTCCTGATGCTGCACGGTGCTGAGGAAGCTCAGGGGTCCAGGTACCTACTGAGACACTGCATGGATGGGGAAGCCCACATAGAAGCCAGGGAGGACAGAGTGGGTAATGATCCCAGACTTCTAGTTTAGACGGTGAAGGACACAAATAGGGAAACAGGATGTGAACCCCAGGAGACTTCTTCGGGTTCCTATGACTGCCACGGACCTAGAATCATGTGATCCTTGAATTAACTTTCCATATGATTTTGAACGATGAACTGGGTCAAGATGGCTGCATCTTGGGGCATCTGCCAGAGGTTCACCTGGCTTCCTCCCAAGAATCTGAGGTCTCAGCTAAAACTTCATTTGGTCACTGAGGTCTTTTCTGATCTCTCCATTGTAAATTGCAACAAGTTCCCCCAGTCACCTCCATTCCCAGGATTTTCCTCATTGCTAACTATAGAATTGCAACCCCCTGTACACTTCACGTACTATCTGTAACATTTGCCTCCTTATCTAGAAGGGAAGCTGCACGTTTTGCTTATTGCTGTACCAGAGTGCATGGATGACTGCAACATAAAGTAAGGGGTTAATAAATTAATTCCGATTACATTAACTAATTGCATCTAATAGCATATCACAATACAAAATTATTAATTAATTGTTATTACTAAATTCTGTAGGAAAAAGCTAAATTCAACACAGGTAGAGCAGTCCATGTTTCTAGACCCTATGACAGCACACCTTTAAAAACAAAATAAATAAAAACATTCAAGGCTGAAAGATGAAAAACCATCATGGGTACGATTTGGCATCATGAAGCTTTAGGACTTTAGAAGAAAGAGGCCATTCTGGCTAGAGATGGCAGAAAGATTTCATGTGAATCTTCAAGTACAACATGAATACTTTTAAAACGTGGAGAGGTTAAAAGAAGAGGTAGAGTAAAATATTTGGTGGACAGAATGGTATCAGGGCAAGAGCTACACAGGATGAGGGTCAACCTCCACTGAATTTAGAGGAATGGATGTTGCCAGACAGAAGGTTGGAGGAGAATTCAGGCTGATGTGCTGAGAAGCCTCCGTCAATCCAAGGGAAAGGGCCAGACAAGGACGGAGCCTCCCTGCTCCTCTGTTGGATAAAGGCACACTGGGAGCACCACATGTGGCTTCTGCTCCTGCAGTCTAGGGTGGGCGATGACTGCTGCAAAATCTAGGACAGAGAATTGAGGGAGAGGAGTGAGGGTCTCCAAACAACCAGGGCCACTTGCTCTGCCTCAGATGACACACAACACTGTTTACTGTGATGCACGTACACTCTAGGATTACTAATGACATACAAGACCTTTTCTACCTGAAATAAGCCATTCATGTGGCAGGACAAGGAAATAAGGAATAAGACAGATACCTCATCCCTTTAAATGTAATTACTCAAGGGGACAGCAGCCCTGTCTCTGTAGGCAGGTAGAAGCCTAACTCCAGTAAGCACAAACTAGCAAACTCCGATGGCCCAATCACACTGCAAGACTCCCACCACCAACCTCCAGTGCATTTCCGCTAGCTCTCCCAGGGCTCAACCTTCCCTGGCTTTGTCTTCAGGGAACTTGAGGCCAACGGCTCTCCCTATCACAACGTTCTGACTCACATTTCAACAGTCTTCAGTAAGCGCTTCCTTCACATTTTCAAAAATCTTGGTGAATTTTTACCTGTATAATAAATGAAATAGGTATCCTTTGCTGTTACTGTGCTGATTTTCTTTTTTTTTTTTTTTTTTTTAAGGCGGAGTCTCGCTTTTTCACCCAGGCTGGAGTGCAGTGGCCAGATCTCAGCTCACTGCAAGCTCCGCCTCCTGGGTTTACGCCATTCTCCTGCCTCAGCCTCCGGAGTAGCTGGGACTACAGGCGCCCGCCACCTCGCCCGGCTAGTTTTTTGTATTTTTAGTAGAGACGGGGTTTCACCGTGTTAGCCAGGATGGTCTCGATCTCCTGACCTCGTGATCCACCCGCCTCGGCCTCCCAAAGTGCTGGGATTACAGGCTTGAGCCACCGCGCCCGGCCTACTGTGCTGATTTTCTAAACTCGGCTTACAAGCAAACCTAGAAGGAAAGAGCTGAAAAGTACTCATTCCATTTTATGAATATCATGTTTCTTGGCCTCCTGTATGTCTATTTTTGAGAAGTATCTGTTCAGGCCCTGGAACACATTTTAAAAGGGTCATTTCTTTGTTACTTATTTATTTGTTTAAGTCCCCTGTAGAGGAAAATCACTTTGCCTACGAGATCACCACCAACCAGCCTCTCCTTACTGCTACAGGTATGGACCTCGCCATCTCCAGGACATGGCGCTGGCTCATGTCCATTACCCTAATCCTTGCCTTGCTGTTTCCCTGAACTCCAGCTTTGCTGATTACCCCAAAAATGACCTCATTACAGTAGAATTTTGCTGAGATCACCATTTGCTTTCAGTATAATCCCATTACCTTATGGTGCAAGGAACCCATAGAGCCTCAGTAAGATTGGAAGGCTGCCCTACAAGCTTTGCAAAAACTACACACTTGGGAGACCTGTGTGTCAGAATCCCATGCCCGAATCTAACAGTTCTCCAGTGATAACATTCATGCAGTGCTGGGGAAATGCCTATGGACTGGAGTGTGTTCTGTGTGCAGGAAGCAGGTCCAGGTTTCACTTCCGTAGGATACGGGGCATATCCAGAACCTGGAGGTCTTCCTCTCGCTCATACACACCCCTTCATATTTTGTCCCCATAACCTCATCATTGTGACCCTACAGACACCTACTAATGCCCTGGAACCTAAAACCATCACTAAGCCTTAAGTTTCCCCAAATAGCCCAAATTTCTTCTTATGCTGCGATAAGACTGGTGCTGACTTCCTCCAATGCTGAAATTCCTGGGCCTCCACTCATCAGGAACTCACTGTTCCTCAGAGGGACAGCTGACCCCACTGCTCTGCCACAGCGACCACCCCAGCAAGGCTTGAGATGCCTCCTCCTTACTTAAGGTTGAGGGAGACGCTTCAGCTCTCAATCCACTGCCCCCAGTCCTCCACAGCCCAGTGCCTGCTGCCTTCACACAGAGCTGCAGGGGAGGCCCTGAGCACCCAGCCTGTGGGACCAGCGCTGTGCACGACCTTCCCATGGTGGCAGGGGCTGCCCGGCCTGCACACTGGGTTCAGCAGCCTCACCGTAGGTATTTATTGCTTCAGGAGTGACTGCATTCCTTTCTTATTATCCCATCTACCACACTAGGAGAAGGACGAGAAGGGTGGATAGTGGTACATTTTAAAATGTGCTCTAGTCTTCCCAGGAATTCTCCTCAAATAACACAGGAAGAACCACAGGAGCTCAATTCTGCATGTCTCAAGCGACCAGTGATCATCCCACTCACACTGTGTGTATGGAGACTCTTAAGCCTGCCCAGAATCGGCTATGGAATAAGGTATTTGAGCACACAGCACCAGGTGATCCAAGCTAACACCAATCTCGCTGCCACCTTGACCACCTCACTGAGAGATTTCCAAGAGACATTAGGTCTCAAGCAGCAAACTCAGGAGTCCCCGGCTACAATGGTCCTAGACATTCGTTTAGCCTTAAACTGTCCATTGCCCAAGCAATGAGGCAACTGTCTGCTCCAGGGAACCACATGCTGTGTGCACATCCTTAACGAACCCAACAGAACCTGCCCTGCCTGGAAACAAAAGCCAAGGTGGGATTCAGTCTCCCCCAGGTGGTCTGCAACATCCCAGCCCAGCCATCGGCTTTGACGTGTTGTAATGGTGAGAACTCAGGTACTGGGGAGGCTGGTTCGGGGCAAGATTCCTCATCCTCTCCTGTGAATAGTGATTGTGTTCTTGTCTCTCTAACAAAGTGTATCCTGTGAGATGCCGGCCAGGCTCTCCTGGGGACTTTTAAATATTCCCCTGCTGCAGCGGGCTCAGCCTCAGCCACTAGCACAGGCACCTC